TTAAATCAAAGCAACACAGTTATAAAATTTGGGCAGTAGCTTTCTCTTGTGAATATATATACTACTGAAAATTGGTTGCATGGCTAACTGTGCAGTTTTAGGCATTATAGAAAGTGAATGTGAAACAATGAAGCCTCAGGGCCATACAGCCTATGAACATACTTCATCTTGCCTGAGTGGAGTTTTCCTTCGAATTCATATTTGTAAACAAATTTCTTTGGAAAAATGAGCAATGCTTTATAATTTTGTACTATGGCCTAAATTTAAGCAATAAATATGGTTGTATTATTTATTGGACAGTTCAGGAGACTTAGTAATGCTAATTTTGTTTTCAAGTTGGTAATTAAATAAAACTCGGATCATCGGTAATAAAAATGAAATTTCTTTACAAACCAAATGAAAAATTCACTTATCACTGCAAGTAAAGAAGCCTTCTGTATCTGACTGCCACCCATATTCTGAAAATTTGCGTATACAACATTCAACTAAAATTTTATATGAAAATCATGGAAATATTCAATGTTTGCCTGATCTGTAGTAGGTCTGAGAAATGCTGAAATTTTACATTAAAAGTTAAATTCCATGAAAAAGCTACTTCAAGAAAACATTATAATATCTGAAAGCTAATGAACTATTCTTATGCAGAATCTAATTCTCTTTATTTGATTACTATTATGTTACTTTATTGAATGTTTAGTTAATTTCAGCATCTGCAGACACTATATAATTTTATTAAGTTTAAAACTACATGAAAAGGTCAAAATTTGGTGCAATTTTGTTTTGTTGTAATTCAGCTTGCAATGTTTCAATATTTCAAAAGCCCGAAAAAAGTGTTATTAAAGTTATTAACAAACATACTGTACTGTATAAAAGTACAGCAAAGTTTTAGGTGCTTGGGTTGAATACAGATTAATGATGAATGGCATTTGCTGAACTCATTAGTTTATAATATACTATATGTTCCAATTTCCTGCATAGTTTTGTGTTCAGTAATGAAGAACACATACGTTTCTCACTATAGAATTGTAATGCTTAACAATCAGGAAAATGGAAAGTAATCTCACAAATTAAATTTTCTTCTTTATAAAGCCTTATAGGTTCAACCATGCAAAAAAAAAGTGGTTCTCGAAAAAATATTCCTACATGGTCAGATGTCTGACTCTGCAATTTAATAACTGTAGTGGCAAAGGCACAGAATTTGATTAATTACATAATATATTATCATCCCTAATTTAATCTATAATTGTATTCCAGATATTCAAAGAGATTATTGTAAATGTGATAATATATAAATAAAATAATAAATACAATAATAAAAAAGTTAACATAAAATCCTAATTCAACTGAGATTCAAACTCTAGACTTCCACATGATAGTTGAGGGCCATAAAACCACTATGACAATAAGCCATTGTAATCAAATGTTAACAAATAATTGAAATCCCCAATGTAAACTATCATGTTATTGCTGTTTTTCATAATATTGTAATATCTTGCTTTAAACATGAATTAATAACTTAAAATGTTATTACAAATCCCCACTTGGCCGGTATTTGAACTCAAGACTTCTGCTTAACCCGATGACCACTGGCTACTAACTTTCTGAGTAGCCAATGCAAGTCTTGCT